CCCGCTGATGGTTTTCCTTTCCATTAAAAAAAAAAATAATCACAAAATTCTTCTGTTCAGTCACGGGGAAAAAAAAAATCTCTCAAGCTTTAATGAAATAATGAATCTTTGACTTTGTCTCTGAATACGTGTTGTTTGAGTATCATTGCCACAACCTCCCAAGCGACTGTTTAAAGGAAAAGAAGACCAGCATGGGATACCCCCCCGCAAAACCTGAGGGTAGTTCGGAGGAGGGTGAGCAATGCACCGTCACAGCCGCGTTCGCGGGTCGCGTACAGGCGGTCCTTCCTTTTTTGAGGCGCTGTTACCTGTTCGCTGCCAGCCGGGATGAGATGTACCCGCCGGGGATCTGGGTGATTATGTATCCCCAGAAAAAGGAGCCGTGGATCATGCCAACTGTTTCGGGATCCCAATTAAACTTCGCTTTCTTCCAGTGCAAGGGACCGGGAGAGAAGGAGATAAAGAGAAGAGGAAGGCTGTAATTGTGCCACTTCAGAGCTTTCACCCGCAGCAGCTTCACACGGGGCAATTGAGGGGGTTCTAATGCCGGTGTCGGCGCCGGGCTCTGCCCTCCGCGCTCCGCGGCGAGCGCTCCGCCCGCCCGCCGGATGAATAAACAGCAAAACAAAACCAGTAACAGCGATGGAAGTAGCACCGCCCGTGCCTCCCAGGGACACGAGAGGGGCAAGGTCTCCCTGAGTGACCGGAGCCCCATGTGCCCTGAGCTGCTCGATCGAGGCACGGGCCTCCTGCGGGACCCCCGGGCAGGGCAGACCCGGGGACTCGGGACCGCCGGACCCCCGAGCTCAGACACCCGGGGACTCGGGACCCCCTACCCGGGGACCCGGGACCGCCGGACCCCCGGACAGGGCAGACCCGGGGACCCGGGACCGCCGGACCCCCGGACAGGGCAGACCCGGGGACCCGGGCCCGTGTCTGGGACCCTCGGCTCCCAGACACAGCCCTGCGCGGTCCGGGGGCCGGAGGCGTGGCCCACCATCCCTGCCCGCACTTACCTCTTGCCTGTGCAGGGAGCAAGCCGTGAGGGGTTTGCCTCTCGACTTGTATATTCAACACATCTCTATTCATCGTTCGCCTCTTCCTCTCCACATTATAACTCGCTTTAAAACGGCTTTTATCGTTTAACGCCTTTTATCAAAGCAAATTCACCCTGGTGTTTTCAAACCTTCCTGCCAAACCTTCCCGCCTCCTTTACTGCGCGGGGCACCCGCTGGTAGCTCCTTATTCGACGCCCTCCTTCCCCTACGTTTATTTTACGAGATATCTGCGTTTTTCAAGGTTGTATGGGAAAGGGAGAAGTGGGGGGTGAAGTGTCCGCAAATTAGCACCGCAAACTGGGGTTGGGAATCGAAAAGAAATAATAGAAATAGTTGGTAGAAAATGTTTCTGCTTCAAGAACGGGATTTCCGTCCTACGAAGGGCAGTGGCCGGGCCGGGCAGGGCGAGGGGGCCGCTCGCCCCTGGACCGGGGAGCGTCGGGGCTCGAGAAATGCCGTGAAAGCATCAGGAGCCCGTCCCGCCTGCGCTGAGGTGCGTGACCTGGGAGTTGTACTGGGAGGACATGGGATTAACGAGGGAAGGGTTCCCACCTCTTTAATAATTTTTCCTCCTCGGTGTATGGTGCTGTTATTGACCATATCCACGATGGCCACTCCCAAGTTACATCGGATTCCGAAGGAAATGCAGAAACCCAGTCCACTCATGATGGCAATGATGTACCTCCGGGGCAGCCCGAAGCAGGTACAGTCGCACAGCGGGGCTTTCTTTTCGTGCACTTCCATGGGCTTCCCATCTTCCGTCAGCTCGATGGTGTCCCCGGGCTTCTGCCTCTTCTCTAGGACTCTGCCCGACACAAGAAGGGAAAATCAAGCCCTGGCCGCCTGAAGGCACAACCATTTCGGATAGCTGGAAGGCTTAAACTGACCGCTCCCCCCGCTCCTTTGGCTCGGTTTGGGTTGGTTTGAGGATTTATTCCTTGTTTTCCATTCACCTTCAACCGTTCTTTAGCAATGACCTGTGGGAGTCACGATTAGTCATCCCCAACTCCCCCCGCCACCCCGCCGCAGCAGCCCAGGGAGGAGCTCTAGCTGAGAATTGCTCATCTATCATTAAAGACTTCTGCTTAAATATGTAGGACGCACCAAGAAGACAGCATCTGTAACCACTGCAGAGGCGCCATGTTGGGCAGCCCAAGGCGCGTAGTGTGGAAACAGAGACGGTCTTTTGGAGGTTTTTATTCCCTCCTTGCTGTATTAGAAACACCAAGGGGGATGATCCTGGTGTGCATCTCGCTTAAGGTCTGGGAACAAAAGAAATGTTAACAGAAAGGGAGGGGGAGTTGAGGGGTGGGGAAGGAGGAGGAGAAGGAGGAGAGGGCGATACTGCTACTTATTTTAGATTTGCAAAATGGCTGTCACATGCAGTGAAAGAAAACATGACCGTCTTCAGAGAACGGGCATCTCCGGAGAAGGCTTTCCCAAAGATCTCAGCTGCTCAGCTACACGTTGTGAGCGTGCGATCACTTAGCAGGTTCAACCCAGAGCAGCTTTAAGCCCTCTCTCACTGCCTCCACTCGCTTGGTTTTAGGTTTTACGTGAAAACCCTGTCTCCTAAAAAACAATCTGCAGGAATCTGAAGAGAAACAGTTATTTGTAGCTATTTCGAATCAACAGAAAAATATCATGAAAGGTGATTTGGAACTTTTCTTTTTTTGGTGGAAAAGCTTTTAAAACGCTGTGTCGGTATTAAGAAAAATCAGGTTTATCAAGCAAATGTCCCACGCTGAATCCCTAAATCTTCCTCTGTAGTCACTGAGATTTTTTAAAGACAGGAAAACTAACCAATTATATCGTCTTGAGAAGAAAATATGCGACCATTTCCCGACACTCTGGACTCTCCTCCCGCTGCCCTCACCTCTGCTCTAGGAGTGTTTTCTCAAGTCAGAAATTCTCCTCGGAGGAGCATCTCTTTCAGGTTAATTCATCCGGCTGATGGGGCAGTAACGATTAGCAGAATAAGGCTCAAAAGATTACCCGTGTTTTGGGGGAAATACAGGGATTTTTTCCAAAAGCTATTCAGCTGAAATTCTCCTGATTTTTCCTTTTTTTTTTTTTTTTTTTTTTTTTTTTTTTTTTTTTTTGAAGTATTTCCATGCTTAAAAACCACGGCACTAAGAAATGTTTTAAAGTTGTGAATAAAATAAGCCACCGTGGGTTTATATTAAAAATTCGTTCGTGCGGATAAAGGATAATGTAGAAGCGTTTTCTCCCTGAATGGGTGCCTTGTCTTCGGGAAGAACTGGAAATCAATGTGTAAGGGACAAGAAAAGTGTTTTACTTCTAAGAATCGGAAACAAAGTACTTAATTCCCCTGCACTGAAAAAGATTAGCAAATCGCGCGTTTGTTAATAGAGGTGTGAATTGAAACGGAGTTCTGCTGGAAAATACAAACACCGTTTCTCAATTGTTCACCGTGTGACTATATAAAAAGCAGTAGAAATAACCGTTTTATTTATATGTTGTGGACTCTTTTAGGACGAAAAGACAAAAAAAGAGGTTTATTTCCTTAATTATATTGTAGCAGTTATTCTGGATTATCCTTTTTAAAAAAAATTATTATTATTTTTCACTCATTGAAAATGACTTAAACATGACCAATAACTGCAGGAAATTCGTTGTGTTGTTGATGACTTTAATTTTGCGTTTGGCTTTTCTTAATGGTACGCTTCCTGCGAAAATTGAAATCTTCATCTTGTCTTTATCACTTCATTGGTATGTCCCCTTTCCTTAAAATGGCAGCAGAAGTTGTGACTCATGCTGTGAAACAGCCTTGTGCCTGTGCCCAGCACTGCCGCATAGGTATGGAAAAAAAAGACTTTTACGTGACCTACCCTGGGCAGACAAATCCGCAGTTACCTTACAACTGTAATTCGGAAAAAAAGAAAAGAAGCAACACCAAAGCAAACAAACAAAAAGCAACACTTCGGGGTAATTTCTAGCAGACGGTACAATTGAAAATATGTCGGAATTTCGCAGACTGTTCTCAAACGTTCTGGAGGTCACCAAAGTCACCAGATTGGATGGAGCACTTGTGTGAACTTTAGTGCATACACATCTTAGGTATGCAAGAATTTGGGCTTGGTTATCTGGGTGCACAGGACTCGAAGACGGTAGAAGTGTTCTTTACACACAGAAACATACAGGAGTGATGCTTTTGAGTTTAGCAATTGCAGTTTGTATCTCTTATAGGACAAGCAGATGCTTCTCAAGGCAGATGGATAAATAATTAAACACGTTCTTCTATATGTTTCAGCTTCAGGAGGAAAAAAATCGTTCAGATATCAATTATTTATATATCTCCATCTTCCTCTGACGACGAATTACACAAAAGACAATATTAATCAAAACCAGAATTGTTTTTGTTTTAAGCTTTGTTAAGTGCAGGGGGAAAGATCCTGTGACCGCATTGCAAAATTAAGACAGAAGAAAAATACAGGTTACTGCCCTCTCCTGATTATGATTTCAAGATGGGATCCTGTTTTTGTGGGAGAAAGATGGGGTAATCTTTCGCTACATATTTACTGACACCATCTACGAATCAGATAGAGAAGTTACGAGGGTGCCATATTGAGCAGCTTCAGCACTAGTTTCCTGGATCCAGATTATATCCAGCAGTATCTTAGCAGCTCCCACCCTAACCCCCCCAAACCATTCGACCTCCTTCAGCAGCGGGCAGTTAAGAAAAACTTCCAATTTTCTCTAGGAAGTAGAGTCCTTTAAGAGATCTCAGTCTTACCTGTAGAGTTGACCAAGCGATTTACCAGCAAAATTCTTCAATCCCTCCTTGCCAGGGGTCAAAATCCTTTGTTTTACCGACTCCATTCCTGCGGGGATGCTCGCTGGATTCTGCTCTGCTCTGTGTAGGGCACCGCTACGAGCAACGATGCTTCATATTGGTTTAATCCCTCAACTTTTCTCCCTCATTCGGCGGCTATCGGCGCGGCTACGGGAGAAGGCGGAATGAGAGGCAGCGTGCGCGCGTGTGTGAGCGGGGGGAGCCGGGGGGGCGAGGGAGCGCGCCCGTGTGCGCGGAGCCGGAGCGCGCCGCAGGCAGCGCGGGGGCGCCGGGAGCGGTCACAGAGTCTCCCCGGCCCCGCAGGGTCCGGGGGTGGCGGGCGGAGGCAGAGCCATGCCCGGCTGGGAGGGGACGGAGCGGGGGCTCTGCGGAGCGCTCGGCGGCGGTGCGGGCTCTGCGCTGGCGGGGGCGGGGTGCGCGGAGCCGCCGCGGGCACACGCGGGGCCGAGACCCGAGAGCCGCTGCGGGCACACGCGGGGCCGAGACCCGAGAGCCGCCGCGGGCACACGCGGGGCCGAGTCCCGAGAGCCGCCGGGAGAAGCCCGCGGGCGGCGCGGAGCCCCGGCGTGTCCGCGCTGCCGCTGCCACCGGCGCGGCGGCGGCTCCCGGGGCGAGTCGGCCCTTCAGCACCGCGGCCAGCGCCGCACCCTCAGCACGGACCGGCCGCGCCCTCAGCTCGGGGGGGCCTCGCCGTCAGCCCCGCGGGAGCCTCGCCCTCCACCCGGGGCGGCTTCCCCATCAGCCGCGGGGGCCGCGCCCTCGGGCTCCGTCCCGGCGCGGTGCCGCCGACCCGCGGGTGCTGCCGGTGCGGGAGGAAGGAGCAGCCAGTCCCGCTTCCCGGTGAAACGGGGCACAGCTGCAAACAATGCTGCTGCAGCGCTTGTGAACAGATAACACCTATTGCAGACGTGTGTTTATCCTCTATGTCCATGTTTACCCGCACAGCTTACTTTGTGTCGTGTTAAGAATCCATGTTAAGACCTCTTTCTCTCAAGCATTTAATGTTTTCCATCTCTTTCGTGCCCTCTGTTGTCATGCCTCTGAGTAGGCCAGTGTGACGCTCAGCCTTGATTTGTGGTATTTACAGCACTGCAATGAACGTAATTTTCCACCTTTTATCACATCGAAGCAAATTGAAGATTCAAAACGTGGTATTTCTTTTTTAAGTCGTAACCATTATATTTCTCTTAGGTTTCCTGTTAATCTTAAAGTTCCTGTGTCACTTAAAAATTCTAACTTGTGCTCTAAACAAATCCTTCTAAAATCATTAAGATCCTTCAATTGCCCAGTTGTTGTCTAAATGTAAATGGTGCATTTTCAAAGTAAGATTCCTTGATGAAAAGGTGTGTTGTAGCTGCAATAGCCTAAAAGCAACTGCTCTTTGGATTTACGTAAATATTTTTTTCACATGTTGCCCTCTGCTGGAGGGTTAATGAAGCTTTACAGCGTCAAAGCACATCTACGCAAGACCAACTATTTTAATATTGAAATTCCCCTAATGACTGATCCATGTAGAATTTCAATGTTTCCTTTCAAAGTTGTAAAAGAACTACAAATAGAAAATAAATTAAAACAGTAGGTAATTGAAATGTTGCTAATTACCATCATATCACAGACCTGATTTACAAATCATGGTAGGCACTGAATGTGGTTTACAGCATCTTCACTACCATCACAAATCTGAAAGGGATTTTTCCCAGAAGAAGAAAAACTGCACAGTTATATAAGCCCGTCTTCCCAGTGTTTCATGGCTCCAGTGTGCCATTGCAGATGCTCAAAGGAAACCCATATTAATAGATTTTTCTGAGAGGCAGCAGGAACAGAACATTGTTTTGCAGGGATGGATGAAATGGGATTGGATTCTGTAACTCAAGCCTTTCAGAAAGGTACTGAGCTCTTTTCTGAGCTGGAATTTGAGACTGTAAAGCCTGCAGGGCAAGGGTGCCTTGTTTGTCTAAACACACTATGCAGGGAGCTCTGGCCTCTTTTTTAGAAAGCTCAGCACTGATGCTATGGCCACTAAGTAGCAGCAATAATTATTAGTAAAATAATGGCATTTAAGAAATAAATGGTGATTGGTTTGGGAAAGATAAATAATTTATCATATCACATCACACAAAAATGGTCTGAAAGTCCAGGTGAAATATTCCTATAGGCTCTTGCTAGAGGAGAATTAGTTAGTCCTTAATTGGATAAAATATGCAAAAGAGCAAACAACCCTGGTACAGTAAAATCCTACAGTGACTAAGCTGCTGCTGTAGCTATCTGAAATAGAAACTCTATGTCTATCAAATGTTCTATCCAGACATTACTGAGTCACACCCTGATCAAGCTCAGCTGTTTTGGTTTCACATGAGGCACTAATAAGAGCAGTAGAGAGCGAATCTCATTGGTATTACAATATATGTACAGTCTTGTAAGCTTTTTTAGCATAATATATTAAGTACTTAATGTTGGTAGAATGAGCCATTTCTAGAAGAAACAACACATAACAGTAACTAAAATGATCAATATTTTTATAATAAATACCTGTCACAGACAGACTTCACTCATGGAAGGACTAATTCAAACTTCAGTGAAATCATTGTGAGCTCTTTCACTGGTGTCAGTGGAAATAGGAAGTTATGCAGAACATTCTAGCCCAGATAATCACTGCTAAAGGTATTGACCGGGGGAAAGAGGAGATTCGGCCCAAAGCTGCCCAGTAAAAAATGCAGCTCTGAAAAGGCTCTAACAATATCTGGGGGATGATATGGTGTGATGCAGGATGCTGCAGATGACTCTGGTTTTTTTCCACACAGAGCAGAAAGCTTATTGTTTCATCCTGAAATCTTGTGATTAAATACTATTTTCTTCACCTCGTGAGATTTTCTTTTCCTTTTGCTCATGTGAAGGCTTAAGGATTGAGTCCTTACCTGCCCTTTTATTTCTATAAATAGCTCCTTTCTACAAATCTTTAATTGAAATATTTCAACTAGTAATCTCTTTCAGAGATGAAGAATTACAGATGTGGTTCTTAGGTAACTTTTTTATTATTGTTAAATATCTACTCTCAAAATCTTCCACAATTACCCTCAGAATAGTGCCTAAATATACTATCATTTTTTTAAAGGACTACAAAGTCAATACACCGATAAAAATTTCTTTTTCTCTAAGTTTTAGTCTTTCTGAAGAAAACTACACTTCAGTCTAAAATTTTCACCATGATACATACCAGTGGTTTAAAAAACCTAATTATTTAAATTCCTTTTTTGATCTTATCTTTGCTGCTGATAGACTGCAAAATGGATTTTCTCCTTCCCAAGTGTCATGCATTCAGAACTTACAAATGAATACGTATTTTGTGATCCATTTTGAAAAATAATTGTATGTTATTTTAAACTCATATCATCATACATATAAAATCTAAGACATTTTGTTATCCCTGTCTACTCAAAGGTGACAAAATACTGCTCTTAATGCTCTTAGTCGTCTTCATTAAAAAAAAATACGTGCTTAAAATCTTAGTTATGCCATGAAATGCATGTCTGTAACACAGTCTTTTGGGGCTGAGGATAGCATATATATGCCACAAAAATTGTGATCTGATTCTCACTCCTATTTATGGTAACTGTCCATTAAATCCAAAGTAATTTGATGTAACCTTAAGAACAAAGCAATCTTTTACCTTTTTTGGGACTATGAAAGTTCAAAATCACACAGCAATGCCAAAATAATGATCATCCTTGCCAAGCCACCAGGAAGAAGGTTGTCTGGAAGAAGCAATGGCTTTGTAAACTCTTTTTTTAAAGTAAACTATTGAAAAAATTATTCAATAATAAAAATTATTGAAATAAACCCTTGTACCATACCTTAAGAGGCAGAAATATGTGACAAACAGATTGTTTTAAACCAGGAGCTTCCCCATTCTCTCTGAGAGTTTGCAAGGGTCACTTCTTAAAAAGCTTAGGTTGGCTTTTGATTTATTCTCCAGAGTCGTGATGATTCACAGCAACAACTCAACAAGTCTCCTGAAAAATCACACAATCCATCAATTTGAAGATTTAGATGTAGTGTCCATGCGTGGACACGTCAAAGATCTGTCTACGCCAAATTCTGCACACCAACCTGTAAAGATTCTTCAGTCCCAAATAAAACTACATGAGGCTGGGTTGACAATATTTTATAGATTATTTTGCCTTTTGGGGGTCTGTCCAGCAGTGTCCAAACATGTGTTTTGTGAACTGGCCTTGCTTTTTCCTGTGCACATATCTCCAGACAGGTTGTGTGCCCAGTGTGGTTGTTATGTCCACCTGAGAAGTGTCATTCCCCACTGGTGTTGAAGGGAATAGCTGTAATGTGCTGCAACGCTAGAAGTTCACACAATGTCTTGCTGCTTCCTCATGACACATCTTGAGTGGTATTTTAATTTCCTGAACCGTGGCCCAGATCAGTAATTTATATGTTACAAAACAAACACGGCAGAAGTTGAACTGTTGGATCAAATTCTTGGCTCTGTATCTCTACAACAACCCTTCTTCTTTTGTGTCCCCAAGAGAACATGCTCCAACTGAAACCTGCTGAAGAACGCATCTCTCAGGGCAGGACACACACATTCAGATGATCCCTCTCAACCAGCTTGTGCTTTTTTGGAAACAGAAATTTGGAACTTCGGGCTGAGATCGGGGGGACAAGTGGAAAAACCTAGCAGGGAAGTTGGCCACAGATTCAATATAAACTGTGGCCGTGGATTTTGTCAAGCAGAGTTGTGTAGCTTTTCCACTACTTCAGCTAAGTGGGATACATGGCAGCTTAGAGCTTGTAAATTGGGCTACTCTTCCAGATGCCCTTATCCAGTTGCTTGAATGTTATTACATTGCTTTGCCAACAGCCTGATAAGCACAAGGAATTAAATGTGGATGAGTATAGAAGTTGCACACTCATTTTTCAGGGTGATTTCTAGTTTTAAGCTGAACTGGAGGTAATTTGCTCAGGGATCTCTCCACTAACATATATGATGGAATACTCTGAAGACTTGCTACAGACTCCAGTATTTGCAAGTTGCTATTGCTTTTTGAGAGGGTAACGAGAGTAATTTAAAAAACCAAACCAAACCAAACAAAACAGCATAGAATTACTTGAAAACTGCACTTTTTTTTTTTTTTTAATTAAGGAATATCTTCTTTTTAAGCATGTAAATTCTTATTATTGACTCTGACGTCAATGACTAATTTTTAGATAATCCAGCTCCTGTTGAAGCTGTTCCTTCGGCCCTCTAGTGGTAAAAGCTACTAAAGCACTAGAATTGCAGTTAATTTTTATGTTCTATTGATATTGTGGATTTCACTGTGAAAACAACCCAAATCACTAGATGATTTGCAGTTACTACATAGGACTACTCCACGGCTGGAAATTTTCCTGTTATTTATTTATTTATTTCTTCCATCCTCCCCTTCCTCTCTAAAATCTAGTTTGTTTTTAATATTAGCAGATAGATTAAATAAAACCACAAACCAAATAGTAAAAATCCACCAAATGGCAAATGCCTTTTAAATCATGGAAGAAATGATATTAATTTATTTTTTTTAAATATCTCTGGGGAAATTTAACAGCCTTGAATACATTTATCTTAAAAGTAAATGGAGATGCTTATATTCTTCCCAGATATTACAGGAACATCTGTTCCTTTGAATTCCAGTACTGCTCCATGAGTTACATGCAAAGTGTCCCAGAGGACTTGAAGCCATCTGTCATGTTACACAGGCAGAAATGCACCTACCTCTGGGGCTGTGACACAGTGACAATTCTCTCAGTACCCAGGACAGCCATGCAACACTTGGTGAGTGGGATGCAATTACCCATAACGAAATTTAGCCAAGGATTTGTGGCTGCAGCACATTATCCTATCTTTTATTAATACGATGATTAATGATCTTTTTTATATCATTAATC